AAAGCCCTAGAAAAAGATGTATGTGTTTATTCTCTAATGATCCTTAGACTAGCGCCAAGATCATTATCCGCGGCAAGGGTTCTGTTAAAGATGGGAAGGTCGGCAGGCGTGATGGCCTCCCGATGCCAGGAGAGGATGAACCATTGCATGCGTATATAACTGCTCCAACAGCCGAGGCTGTCCAGAAAGCAGTCCGAAAAATCAAAGAAATTATCCGTCAGGGTATCGAAGTTCCAGAGAGTCAAAATGATCTGCGCAAGCAACAGCTCAGAGAGCTTGCTCTTCTTAATGGCACTCTTCGCGAGCACGAGGGGCTAATGAAGCTCCGAGCGATGGCAGAAGCCCAAAATATCGCGACAAACAAAATCCAGTGCACTATTTGCGGAGGTGAGTATCTCTTTTCTTAATTTCCCTCCCTTCATGTATCTTATCCACTTCATTGCTTTCCAGGTTTCGGACACATAGCGTCAGATTGCAGATTTGATCCTACTACACAACCAGAAATCATGAATTCGAATCCTTTGGAACGTGCAAAGATGGATAGTGAATATTCTGCCCTCATGGCAGAACTTGGTGTAGGAGGGGCTCGACCTCTTCCTCCCACAGGTAAGTTATCTTCCTCTTGATTCCAATTGGGCGAAATCTGGCTAAATGTCGCCCTTTTTTAGTCGCCGCTGGAGCACGCCCTGGTTCTTCTCGCTATCAGGCTCTAAAGCAACCTCCTCCACCGGGAGTCCCTCCGCCAGAGGACGATGATGAGATGGTGCTAGTATCTGTTTCGACAGTTACCTCTTCTAGTGACACAAATCCTGTTGACGCATACGCCTATTCCATCCCTCCGCCTCCACCACCGCCTAACATGCCTCCACCACTTCCGGGCCCTGCGCCAACCACCCAATGGCCTCCCGCCTATCCGCCACCCGTACAATATCCTGCGCTTCCACCTCCCCCTCCCCCTCCTGCAGTGTCGTATGTAGCTCCTCCACCTCCGCCTCCAGCTCAGGCGCAATGGTGTCAGTCAGTAGCCCAAGCACCTTGTTGGCCGGTTCCTGTGGTTTCAGCGCCGCATGTTGCCGCAGGTCAGAAGGCTTATTGATTTTTTTGTTTTACACTAGTAGACACTAATAGCAATATTCCTCTTATAGGTTATGCGGACTATTGGACAGGATATGGTACTATGCCTCCTCCCCCCGGCGTATGAATGCAGGACTTGATGGCACTTGTATCTATATGAAGTACTTGAGCCAATATCACTATTTCAATAAAACTTCTTTCTTATTTACGAAATATTGTACATTTGGTAGCATTTCGTCAATGGGTGATCCGATATGCACTACATTATCGCCAATAAATCCGTTGAGTAATTCGAGTGTTCTCGGATTGCTTATTGCCAGAAAAAACGTAGCCCATTATTAAGCTCGGCTGAAGTTATCCTGTGTGCTTGGAAAGCGTTTTTGTGCGGACCTCTTAAGATAGGTTCCTGCGTGATAAATGTGAGTTGCACCCGGGTCCGCTATTCTTTAGTTCTGAAGATATCTAAACTCCTCCGCTCCTGTCGTTACACTTAATCCCGTCCTTCGTACTTCAATCAGTTGCCTACGTGCTTGTTCATCTGAGTCACTGATGTCTTG